CCATGCAGGCTGGGCCGCTTTGTGGAGCCTATCTGAAAGAGGCGCTGAAACAAAAGATCGGCCTGGTGTTGAATTTGTGGGAAAATCCAATGGCATTTATTTATTTTTGAAGCCTGAAGAAAAGGGGCAGGGGGGGGGGGCAAAAAAAAGGACAACACTGATGGCGAAGAGTGGCACAGACAGGGGACGAGCGGGGGCATCGTCTGATTGGGCGACGGTGGTAAATCTTCCCAAACGTCTGGCAAGTTTTTCATACACGTCCTGAGATCACGGGACATTATTCAATGACAGCGGGCCGCAGGCGGACGTGACAGGGGGTTATTTTACCGTAGTTTTACTAAACTAACTCAGAAACACTGGAGATGTGACCTGGGTAAGCTGTTGTGAATTAGCCACTGTCCTATCAGAGACCTGGAGATCATGACAAACGGGAAGTGGTCAGAGGCAGATGAGATACAGGAGTAGGGTCCTGTGTGTGTGTGGGTGTGTGTGTGTGATGTGTGTGTCCTCGATTAGCTGTGGGATAATCAACCACACCGCCCCCCAAACACACCCCATTCCCTCACATAGAGGCGTGGGAACAGCCTTCAAGGTTCAACCCTAAGTCATTTGTGGGGATCCTGGCAGCAGATGTGTGTGTGTGTGTGTGTGAGTGTGTGTGTGTATATGTGTTTGCGCATGTCAGAACTGCATGTTTGTGCTTCCAGTCACACTCTTCAGTTGTCTAATTGCCATTTTCATCTGTCTGCTTGTGCCGTAATCTCTGGCGATTAAGCTTTGTTTCATATTATGTGGTAGGCGCCCAGGAAGGGGCGATGTCCGGGGTGGGGGGGTGCCGTGGGGTGGGGTGGGGTACCCCCACCTTCACTGGCAGCTGGGAGACAGGCACCCCCCAGCCTCCAGCCCAGGCCCAGGACAGGCCAAAGGGTCTCAGGTAACGTGTTATGATGGTCTACATTTCTGGTAGTCTGTGTCCAGACCTGCCTCAGGCCCATTGCAGTGTGTGCGCGCGTGTGGACGTGCTTATTGCATTGTGGGGACCAAATCTCGCCACAATGTGATAGAAGCCTGTTTTATTGATGTTGTGGGGACCATTTTTCAGGTCCCCACAAAGATCTGTGACTGCAGTCAAAAAAGCAAAAATGTCACGTATTTTGTTTGGTTATTTATGGGTAAGGTTAGGACTGGGAAGGTGTTGGGATTAGTTTTCCCCATAGAAATGAATGGAGAGTCCCCACAAAGATATAGTTACAAACTTCTGTCTGTGTGTGTGTGTGTGTGTGTCTGTCTTAATGTCTAGCTTATGTTTAAACTTGAAAACAATGGAGATGAAAGCGGCCGGATAAGCCAGTTCACACATCCACACAGAACTCAAATCTTGCACTCATCTTAAAAGAAACACAATTAAAAAAAATACACACAGAGTTGCAAAGTATTTCTGATTTCCTTACTCAACAAGGCATCAATCATTGGGGAGCATAATGAAAAAAACAAAATGATGTGAATAATGTGAAATATGTGGAATGACAGTCCATTCCATCATCATCAAAGCATATTTCAAATAAGGCGTTTTAAATGCTTGCATTAAATGGTTTCAGAAACTGTGAAAAATGTGAAAATTATTTTTTAGCACGCAATAATTCAAATATTAAAAAGCAGGGTTAAAGTTAAATTCTTAAACGAGTCTGGAGATACACATCTGTGTACAAATAAGAAAACCAGCCAAATAGAAATTTGCTAAAATCATTTTTTGAAACATCGAAAAATAATCAGCAGCATGTGATGCACAGAATTTCTGAAAAATGTGTTGAAAGTACAGTGATGCGAGCAGCACAGGCCGGTGGAAGAAGCACAGTCATCTTTGCTGTATATACAGTATGTTTCTCTCTTTTTCCTATTGGAAAACATTTTTTTTTCTATTCATCCACCGTAACTATTAAGCAACGATATTAAATATCAGCAAATGATTTCAGATGGTGAAATATGTCAGAACGGTTTCTTGATATCAAATAAGGGGTTAATGGAAAGGTCAGAAGCCATCCAAAATACCCGAAGCAAAAGCATTCTTTTCAATACCTGACTTGCAGTAGCTGCACGACTGCAACTGATTTTAAAAAGTATATTTACTTTACAAAATTACACCTTTGAAATTACAGCTGAGAATAAAAAAAAAAATCAAAAGACATTTATGGAAGTGAAAAATCCTGACTTCTTCTTGTTGGTTAGTTAGAAAAGCCGCATAATACAATACTTCTTAACATGCGAAATGTTTATTGTTTATTTTTTTTTAACTATTGTATAAATGGTATATA